ATGACATTAATATGTTAAAATTGTTGAAAACAAATAAAAAATACTTCATAGAAGAGATATTATAGGAAATTAGGCATTAGAAATTTCAGTGCACAGAAATAATGTTTTATTGGAAGAAAATCATGCTCGTTAGTTTACGTATTGTCTACAACTGCTTTTGTACTACAGTGCTGGAGTTGAGTTATAGCCACTTACATTCTATAGCCCAGACAACCAAAATGAGTCATCATCTGCATCTTTACAGAAAAGCTTGCTGAATTCTGGCTTACTAGCTGATAATAATGTTTCGGAGCCACTAACTTTATAAATATTGTGAACACATTTGTTTAAAACATCTCAGTTGGACTGAGCTTGTGAAACATGGGAACATGGGGACTGAGAACATCAGTGTTGGCTACCATTAGGAAGAATAAGCAGAGTTCAAGACCCACTATTGGTCAGCACTTGGTGGTGGTGTTGTGAAGAGGCTTGTCCGGTAAACTTTTCTTTGAAACACCGAGTCTTGACTTGTCATTTTCCAGTGCTTGCCATTAGCTTTACTTGCATTATACCTCTTTTTATCTTGTCTTTTTATTGTTGCTGTTGCTTTTCTTTTTTATCACTATTCTAAAAATGACACATTAAGAAGTGATAATAATAATGCAACTCTAAACATATTCCTTGTTTTCTGGCAATTTGGGGCTAAGAAAACAAAAGCATACCTTAACTGCTATATTCATTTGACTTGTCACTAATTTTGCCTGTCCTCAGATTGAAAAAAAATCATAGAAAGAAAGCAATTTGATATGACTAAAGCTATTAGAATTCAGTCAGTATATCTGAAGGTGATTTTAGATGAAGAGGTACACGTAAGTTTCAACAGATGAAAATAATGACTAGACAAGTATTTATGTATGTTCAGGAGGAGGTTAATTATACAAGTGTCTGTTGATATATAAAATAAATTTATTCCTTCACTTTACTATTTTTTTTTGAACATATTTTCTTCCACATCTAATTTGGAGGAATTCAGTATTGAGTCACTTACTGAGAAAATAAAAAAGTCATTAAGGAATAGGGTCAATTATATCTCAAAAAAGCTAAAAAAAAAAATAGGGTGAATCAGTTTGAAAAACAATGCTATACAGACTGGGAAAAGAGGAAATAATGTTTCAAATGACAAACATCTTGGTAATGTGGTCATTATCACTGTTACTAATAATTAAAATGATGATAATAATTATCATACTTGTTATTTGTACAATGATTTTTCCACTTGGGAGCTCAAAGTGCTAAACCGCCTTATCATTTTTATCTCTACCTAGCTCATTAGGTTAGGAGGGGTCTGGTCTTATTAAGCTTGTTTTTCATATGAGGAAATTAAGACAGATAATTGAATCTGTGGATACAAGACTATACAATAAATGAGTTGCTGACAGGGCTCAGAAATATAATTTCTTAATTATTTATTCAAAGTATTTTCGACTGGATTCTCTTTCTTCTTTGTCCTGTGTTATCCCTTTTGTCTTCTAGCTACCAAGGAGAGCATATCACTAAAATAGTTGTGAGTAATGTAGGAAGGCTGGGTTCAGAAAAGGATTCACAATGGTACCTTGGACACTGCAGTGATGTGCATTCCATGAAAATACATGTATAATCTTCCTTAGTTTTTTTTTTCTTATTTAAGGAATATCTTATGTCTCTCTTTTTTTTTGTTTAATTCAAAAACCATGATGTTTGTTCTTAAAAAATCCACCATAAAACAAGCAAAACCATAAATAAAAATTTATTCTTATTTGTTATTCTGCTTCTTACTGATAATTTGTTACGCCTTCCATATATTTTGTTATGCACACACATATATAGTTTTATTATTTATAAAAACTGAAACATGGAATGCATATTGTTCTATAACTTTTTATTTTTATTTTTTTGAGATGGAATCTCGCTCTGTGGCCCAGGCTAAAGTATAGTAGTGTGATCTCGGCTCACTGCAACCTCTGCCTCCTGGGTTCAAGTGATTTTCCTACCTCAGCCTCCTAAGTAGCTGGGATTACAGGCACACACCACCTCACCCGGCTAATTTTTGTATTTTTAGTAGAGACAGAGTTTCACCATGCTGGTAAGGCTGATCTTGAACTCCTCACCTCAGGTGATCCACCAGCCTTGGTCTCCCAAATTGCTGGGATTACAAGTGTGAGCCACCACACCCAGCCTTATTCTATAACTTTTTAAATTAAAATGTATCATTAACCTTTTTAATGTTCATACATGAAACCTACTTCATCAATAGAATGACTGCGCTATTTACATTTTTGTCTGAAAACTTACTGTAGAACAAATAGAACTTGTCTAATATTTCACTATTCTGCATAACAGTTGTATGCTTTTGATAATTTCATAATGTTTTCTACAAGCACGCATTCATTTTCTTCACCTGACATGTTTTGATATTAGTCGAGAAACCCTTCCCTCCTCGTATTTCCCCCAAAGTTTTGCATACGTCGGTTACATGCATCTCCTTTCTTCTACAACAGACAAACAGCAAGCATTCAGGGATGATGGAGCAAGAATCAATTTTGGATTTTTTTTTTTTTGACACAGTTGCACATAAAAAATAATCTCATTGTGAAGAAGTCTTTTTTATATTGCAGTAATTGCCATTGCAGGAACAGGTGTTTGGAATTCTTTTTTTTTTTAATTGCATTTTAGGTTTTGGGGTACATGTGAAAAACATGCAAGATTGTTGCATAGGTACACACATGGCAGTGTGATTTGCTGCCTTCCTTCCCCTCAGCTATATCTGTCATTTCTCCCCATGCTATCTCTCCCCACCTCCACACCCCCATCCCTCCCCCATTTTCCCCCAACGGACCCCAGTGTGTAGTGCTCCCCTCTCCGTGTCCATGTGTTTTCATTGTTCAACACCCACCTATGAATGAGAACATGCGGTGTTTGATTTTCTGGTCTTTTGTCAGTTTGCTGAGAATGATGGTTTCCAGGTTCATCCATGTCCCTACAAAGGACACGAACTCATCGTTTTTGATGGCTGTGTAATATTCCATGGTGTATATGTACCACATTTTTCCTGTCCAGTCTATCATTGATGGGCATTTGGGTTGGTTCCAGGTCTTTGCTATTGTAAACAGTGCTGCAATGAACATTCTTGTGCATGCGTCCTTATAGTAGAATGATTTGCAATCCTTTGGATATATACCCAATAATGGGATCTCTGGGTCAAATGGGATTTCTATTTTTAGGTCATTGAGGAATCACCACACTGTCTTCCACAATGGTTGAACTAATTTACACTCCCACCAACAGTGTAAAAGTGTTTCTATTTCTCCACACCCTCTCCAGCATCTGTTGTCTCCAGATTTTTTAATGATCGCCATTCTAACTGGTGTGAGATGTTACCTCAATGTAGTTTTGATTCGCATTTCTCTAATGACCAGTGATGATGAGCATTTTTTCATATGTTTGTTGGGCTCCTGTATGTCTTCTTTTGTAAAGTGTCTGTTCATATCCTTTGCCTACTCTTGAATGGGCTTGTTCTACTCAAGGGAAAACTGGAGATGGGAATGGTTGAGGAGAGTAAGACAAAGCTTCCCTGGTTATGGCCCTTGAAAAATCACAGTAACAAGAGAGGAGACCAAGCAGAGTCCCTGGAGCCTTCCACCACATCTCAGTGCCTTCCCCAAGGACAGGATTGTATAGTGATGATAACACTGCTGACTTCTGTGCCAATGCTCTCTATTTTGTGTCCAGTCCCAGCCAGGATGTAATGATGGTGTGGCAGGGGCTGATATGATAATATCATCACTTCCTGATCCTATATCACCAGGAAACAGAATGTTCTTGATTTCTGTAAAGAAAAAGTATTTATTGTGAAATCCTTTGCTGTTTACATATTCCATGATCTAATTCACATTCATGGCTATCCTGACCCTTACTGACAGATGGAGAAATTGAGCTCAGAGTTTAAATGATTTGTCTAAGATGCAGATCTGTTAATAAAAGGGCTAGACTCAGAATCCTCCTTATTTTGATTCAACACCCAGTACTCCTCCAGGAGAATATCACATTTTCCTCAAGTCCTCCTGTATCAGACAGTTAGCACTCTAGAAAAAAAAGCATAGCACATGCCGGCATGGTAAATGCCTCATGAAATACAAAATAACAGTATCATATTCAAACTCCTTAGTCATTTCTGACTTATTTCACATTTCTGGCTTTAGAGTTTGCTTGTCAAATATTATAACCCAAGGGGACGGCAACTTTACCAAGCAAACAAAAATCACGTGGATCAATGTTTTTCAGTAATGTGTATTTTTGAAGGCAGAACAAATGGAAGAAGTTGAGGGAATCTCATGCGAAAAAAATTACCTCTAGCATCATTGAGGCTTAGAGGTAAATCTTAGCCCAAAACCTCAGGTTCTTTAGGAGCGGCCTCCGGTTGTCTCTCCTATGTATCCTCAAAGTTTGGTTTGTAAATAGATCAGAAAATTAGAGGAAGAGAATTAGCAACTTTATCTGAAATCTGGTATGTTTCAAGCTATAAGACTTTCAAAGACTATTTAAGATTCTAGAATGCTAGAGAAAAGGCTTAAAATATTTTTGTAGCTCCCGCAGTGTCTAACTCTGTATCAAGTACATGGCAGGCTCAATAAGTGATAGCTAACACGTAGCATTGCACTTTCTACATGTCAGGCACTGTTACGGGCACTTTATATGTAGTATTCATTTAATCCTAACAATAATTGTATGAGATGGGTATTATCACTACTGTCTGCCTTTAATGGATGAGGAAACTGAGGCACAGCATAGTCAAATAACTTGCCTAGCAACAGGAGCCAGAGTCAGGGTTGGCCTCAGCAACCTGGGACCATGGTGTGTTCTAAACCCAGACAGTACACGACCCTCCAACTGAATGTCCTTTATTCCCAAGAAATATCTGTTTTGTCTAAGGAGTGGATGGTTGTGTGCTCTGAAATAATCTATATATTTACTTTCTTCCTTAGGCCAGATGTGGCGAGGGCTAGGAAAAGAGTTTGTTGGGAGCCCTGGGTTATCGGCCTTGTCATCTTCATATCCCTGATTGTCCTGGCAGTGTGCATTGGACTCATTGTTCATTATGTGAGATATAGTAAGTATAAGCTGCCCTGGCATCATGTGATTTACCCCAAACATTTCCTCATACCTTCCTGTTTTCATTTGCCTCAGGCTTGTTCATTCATTACTAGGATTCATTTGCATAGCCTGAACAAAGAAATCTTTACCTGTTTTGTCTCTTATTTTGTCCTCATAAGTATAAGTCATGGAGGATTCTTTTTTCTTTCTTTGATTTAGTGATGCTTCCTGCTAGGAACAGCATGCTCATTTGCATCTTCCTTAATACGCAGTAAGTGAATATTAATCAAGGACAATTCACAGGATAGCTAGAATGTAATGTGTTGAGTTTTTTGAGATCACAGGGCAATCACTTTGATTTAAAATAATTCTGGCCAGGCTCGGTGGCTCACTTCTGTAATTCCAGCACTTGAGGAGCTGAGGTGGGTGGACCACTTGAGATCAGGAGTTTGAGACCAGGCTGACAAACATGGAGAAACTTGATATCTACTAAAAATAAATTTTAGAAAAGTAGCCGGATATGATGGTGTGTACTTGTAATCCCAGCTCCTGTGGAGGCTGACGCAGGAGAATTGCTTGAATCCAGGAGGCGGAGGTTGCAGGGAGTTGAGATTGTGCCACTGCACTCCAGCCTGGGCAACATAGAGAGACTTGGTCTCAAAAAGAAAAAACAAAAACCAAAAAACAAAAAACAACTCCAACTCATTGAAGTCCTGACATCTCAAAAAATCAATGACACAATCAAGGGTTATAAAAAGGTAGGCTCAATTCTGTACCAGTAAGTTAAGAAAATAGTCATAGTGATGTATTGTTGAATAAGTGCCTATTTCTGTTATTAAAATCTCATCTTAGGGTGTATTTTAGGTGATTAAAGATGATAGGGTATGCTGAGAAAGCTAATTATAAAGAAGTTCACTCTGCGGTTATCAGGTACCTCATTGCTAGATGAACTGCTAGTTGCTATGTTATTAGAAAGGTCTCCAGGGTACTTCAGAACTGTTCTTCCAGGATAGCACAACCCTTCTGAAGTTTCCTTCTACTCTACCTTGGGTTTTAATTACTTGACTCAACTATGACCTGTTAGTTTAATATCTCCCTCTGTTACTAGATTATGCTTGGATGTTCAAGGCACCATAATTATAGAAGCTAATCACTCGAATTCCAAATTAATTGGGACCTCGTTGAAGTTGCTTTCCTGGAACAAGAAAGAGTAATCTATAAACTGGTTATCTTCCCTACTACCCACGCAAGTGTGATCTCAATTTCCAAAGCAAGGTGGATTATTTCTGAATAGTTTAAAAAAGTTTAAAACAAAGGTTTTTTTGGGGGGTAGAATTTGCCTACAGGCAGGTATTTAAATTTGAAATATCTGCATTTTAATAACAATTTTTCTGTAGCATACTTTATTATTTTTTGCAATGGAGTTTTACTCCATTCCCAGGCTGGAGTGCAGTAGCTTGATCTTGGCTCACTGCAACTTCTGCCTTGTGGGTTCAAGCGATTTTTGTGCATCAGTCTCCCGAGTAGCTGAGCTTACAGGTGTGTGCCACCACACCCAGCTAATTTTTTGTATTTTTAGCAGAGACAGGGTTTCACTGTATTGGTCAGACTGGTCTCGAACTCTGACCTCAAATGATTTGCCTGCCTTGGCTTCCCAAAGTGCTGGGATTACAGGTGTAAGCCCCTGCGCCAGGCCTGGAGCACACTTTAAATAAATATGAATTGCCAAAATAACTTTATAGTTCTACAGTTCTGCTGAGTATATTGAGTCTTATTTTGTTGTAAGCATCATTATTTGTCCTCATGGATGCCTGGGACTGTTTTACGCACTTTTTTCTGTCTAGAATTTATTCAGAATCTTGGCACCTGTTAGTTGTTAAATGTTTATTGAATACTGAATGATTAAATTGAATGAATCATACCTATAGTATTTTCTTGGGCCATATTTTGGCTTGTCTGACTTCACAAGAAATTCTTAGTAACACTAGGGGCTAATCACCTCAGTGAGAGAAAATGTCCCTTACTACTTCTCCTTTGCCTCTTCCCAAGCCAAGTTTTATAAGATTCATAATCTTCCTCATATGCATACAGTGAAAAGTTGGCAAGAATTTTTTTAGTAACCTATTCCTGAATCCTGTTGTTTGGATGATCAGTTGAGCAATATTGAACACACAGCTTCCACTACCCACACAGTACACCTGAATAAACAGTGACTCTTGTGATGTGTGTTACTGTCTTCTACTGGTGACCTGCTTTCCGTTTTGAAACGTAAACTAACAGAGTGGTTTTGGCAGATGAACATTTAGGAGCTGAATGCCAAAATAATCAAACCAAAAACAATCTGTTACAGAAATAGATACAGATAAAGGTAATCTGATTTGGAAAAATATCATTTTGATTCTCATTTCATAAAGCCGAGGACAACATAGAATTCTGTGTATAGTTTGTGTCTGGGACCTTTGGGGGTACATTTCTGCCCCTCTGTGATTTGGATGTCAGAAGATGAATCTGTTATAAGCAACATCATTGCAGATTATAGAATTACAAACCTGCTAGAAAATTACCAACAAACTCATGTTTATCCTTATTTTTAACTTTTCTCTTAATATTCCCAACATATTTTAGTCACTACTTGTACCGTATATTTATGGAAGCTAGTAATATGTTTTAACAGTGACATGCTTATGTCTACAAAGTAAAATATTGAGCACAGTTAATAAGTTGTTTATTTGTTGGAAGCATATGAAATTGCCAAAATTTGACCAATTTTGATCTATACTAATGACAATTTTAAATCAATCTAATAAATCAAAAAACTACATTTAAGTGTATAGAAGTGTCTGTTACCGTTCTGTCTAGAACCTTGCTATTTAACCTGTGATTAACTACCAGAAACATCAACATCACTTGGGAGCTTGTTAGAAATGCAAACTCTTGAGTCTAACTTTAGATCTCATGCACCAGAATCTGCATTTTAACAGGCTCCCTAGGTGGTTTAGCTTTACATTAAAGTTTGAAGCAGAATTCTAGAAGAATGGATACAAGTACACAGAAAATTATAGTTAACTATGAGGCAGATGTTAAAAAATACGAATGTAATAGAACAGTAGTTTACAGAGATAGTGTGAGTTATTATCCAGTATTTCAATAAATTTAAAACCTTACTAGAAGTTATGTATATTTCCAGGTACCTGCCTGAATTTCATGTCACCCTGGCCATTCAGAGAAAGGGAGGTAAGGAAGGATGGAGGAAAAGCAAAACCTTCCAAGTCCTTCACTTAGATCTCTAATACTCTAGAGACTGAACTTTCAGTGTCTCCAGCCTGCCATCCATCTCTTTTATTCATCATCAGTCCCACCCCAGCCCTTGTCAGAGTCTGATAGCAGCTTCTCTCTCTGTCCCACTAAATCCTCTGGATGACCAGGGTGTTTTCTTGAAATATACCATTAGTTTTTTGCATAACTTTCATATAATGAAAGACTTCTCCTCTAGCTTCAAAAAGTGGCTTTTTTTTTCTACTCTAAGAAGCAGCATGTGAAATAAGTGTGTACTTTAGAAGTTAGTCCTGGCTATGTCATGTCAGGGTTGGACAAATTATTTACATTTCCAAGACTGTAGTCTGCTAAATGTGGATAATATTGCTTTTTCATGGAGTTATTGTTAATTAAATGAGATACATGAATGCACCGGGGACATTGGTGTTCAGCCTTAGTTTCCTTTTCTTCTGGGGTTTAAGTGAAGAGGGAAAGAATAGGAAGGCAGGAGGAGAGAGATGTTGATTGGATGAGCCACACTCTGCTTTCCTATAGTAGCAATATACGATTGTCTTGATCACCAATTAGTGTATTTCTTGATACAGTGTCTTTTGCTAAAAAGTGGCTGACATTAATATTTGTTGAATGAATACATGAATTTTCTGAGGACTGTGTGCTTGCTTCATGCACTGAAGGGTAGAGGAAAAGTTACGTGACATTAACTTTTCAGCAGGTCAAAAATGTAGGTTGCTTAAATTGCATGCAGAAGTTAGAGACAGTGGCTGAAGAGCAGACAAGTCAACCCCTGTGGTTGGTGGGAAAAAAAATAAGTGAAGTGGCAAGGGAGCCAGGTGAAACTGAATAGTGTCCCTGGAAGGTTATGCCAGGTGGCAACGCTAGTTCGCTAAACTTCTGTTTACTGAATCCCTTGCATTTTAATTCCTCATCTTCCTTTTCTGCCAAAATAAATTTTCTCAAGCTAGAGTTCTTGTGGCCAGAATTGATGTGTGGTTGATAGAAGGAAAAAGAAAATCTACATTTGTAGTATAAAATGCAGTGACTCTTGCGAGGCTTCTGAATCCATCCCATTTTGTGTGCTCAGATGGCGTGACTTGCTGTCTCTTGTGGCTTACTTAGGAATGAATAGCATGTGAATAATCAGCACACTGCTCCAATGAGGTACTTGTACAATACTCCAGGAACACCAGGCATTTCTTACAGCTTTCATACCCTAAATCACATGATGATAAATGTTGTTGTCTTCTATCCTGTGATAACTATGAAGCCTGAGGCAGGATGATGATGATGACCTGGCTAGGAGCATTCCTTCCTGTTTCAGTCTTCTAGCAACCACCAAGTGGGGAAATAATGATGTTTACACACATCTGATAAAAATTATGATAGGATTTTGCCTCTTTCATTGTAGATCAAAGGAAGACCTACAATTACTATAGCACATTGTCATTTACAACTGACAAACTATATGCTGAGTTTGGCAGAGAGGCTTCTAACAATTTTACAGAAATGAGCCAGAGACTTGAATTAATGGTAAGCAATTTTTTCATCCACTTTTAGTGCATTTGATGTCACTTTTTACCATGTTTTTTAGCATCCTAGCTTCTAAAATATCCATTCAACTAACTGATCCCTGTGTATTTGCAAAATGAAAAGAGGCCCTAACCCAAGGAATATGAAACAAAACAGATGATACATCACTTAGGGGAATATGCCTCACAGGGATGAACCAAAGAAACTTTAGCTATTCAATCAAGTCCTTCTTACTCACCTTTCCTTAGCTGGTGCTATACTCTTTATCAGCAGAGTCCAGAAATTCTGGAAATGGTAGCGTGACCTAAAATATATTTGTTGTGTCCTAGACTTTCTAATAAACAGGATCTGAGCAAAAGATTGCCAAAATTGAAATTATTTAGGCACATACCTAAATAGTCTGTTAATTTTTTCAAATATCTAATCTTCAGTCAACTTTTGGTACATACTTCTGTAGTAAATTCAAAGATAGGCAACTCTACCCTTAACACATCAACGTTCATCAAATACTTAAGAAACTGGAAAAATTAGCAGCATGGACCAAAAAAACAAGCACCTGAGTGGTAACTTCTTGTCATTATCAGATTAATTAAAGGAAAATTTAATTAACTTTTTCTGGTAATCTGTGAAGTAATTTGTGGTATAATGTGATGGAAAGAACACTGAGCGGGAAGCTGGGAGGCACATGTAGCTCCAGTGGTATCTACTAACTAATGATACATCACGTGGAATTTCACTTTATCATTCTGGACAAATTTCCTTGTATGAAAATTAAGCTATTAGATTAGATAATTTCCAAATTGTCTTCCAGTTTCAATAACCTGAATAAGAATGGAAGTAACACCCTGGAAACTGCCCAGTAGACAGAAGCCTAGGGATCTGGCCACCTTGCTGAGACAGAAGTTGAATACTGTTTACATTTGCACATTTCCCAATCAGGGAAATATCTGAATAAGCTCTTCTCTAAGGCTAAATACATATGTAAAATGAAGGAAGTGAAATGGAACTAAAAAGATCAAGAAGAGATGTCACTATTTCCTTTGTTTTTTCGTGCCATTCTGTCAAATAAATTTTATTTAAGTAAATAAAATCCAGACAGATTTAAATCTAAAGGAATATACATAGGACTCTTTAATGCCTTTAAAATTTATAGTTTTGAAGTTACTGTACAAGAATTAACCCTTAAATACAAATTTTCCTGTGAATATTATCATCCTATGCAAAGGACTTGTACTATTCTCCTTTGTCTCATAATTGCAGGAACTGCCCTTGGATAAAAAAATTCAGGAGTTAATAAAATGTAAGAAAGAATACAAAGGCTCATTGCTTCTATTAATCACCAGCATGTAGTGTTTAATACATATCCACATACTGAAAATAAGAAACTCTTAAAGTGTTTCCTTACATAAACTCCTTATTAAAATATTAAGTTGCCTAGAATTCTTATTTAGAATAACAACAAATGTCTCTGCAAAATACATTCATTCACTTTAGTAGAGTAAAAATTCATAGATGTGTTAGGTTAAGTATCCCAGTTCACCTATACTCAAATGCCTTTCTAAGAGCATTTGAGTGCTGAACTGGTTGTACATTAAGCCAGGATACTTGGCAATTTTATCACTAGGTTTGGGAAGTATTTGACACGGTCATGCACTCATTCCTATGATCCAAGTACTATGTGCCAGAATTATTTCATTTCCTTTGTCTATGTGCAGTAAAAGTCCTTATCTCAGGGTAAAAATGCTCACTCTTAATTTTCAAGAAACAGTATGTTCATTTTCTTTGGTCTCTTTCTGAGCATTAATATAGCAGATGGCACTTCTGGGCCCACTGAGATTCCCTACTCCTATCATTCCTCAGACAGAGTTTAGTTGAAATCACTGAGAAAACCACAATAGATTCCTCAGGCTACCTCAAGTTCAGCTCACTGTGAAATGTTTATGTTTTTTGTTTTGTTTTGTTTTTTAATTTTCTAAAAAGCTTTAAATTAGTTTGTGGAATTTCAGAAAGTTGTTCTTGCTGACATATTTTGAATATTTTTCAAACAGGTGAAAAATGCATTTTATAAAACTCCATTAAGGGGAGAATTTGTCAAGTCTCAGGTTATCAAGTTCAGGTAGGTAAATCTGAATTGCTGACTTCTGAATTTTAAGTTGAAGCTGTTAATCTGCTGAGCAATAAATATGATTTGAAGAGCTAAAGATATAATTCAATGCAACAAACATTTGACACTTGTCCTGTGTAAGTCATGGGTTACAAAGTCCCTTATTCATTCTTTAAATCCCAAAGTAAGCATTTGCAAGATGAGTGCCAGGGACAGAGGTATAATTGGTGCCTATGCTGCAAAATTGTTTTCTGGGAAACTTACTAAGTACAGATAGGGACCTAACACACCTCTTTGGTTTAATGGTAAGTAGTGCCCCACATAAAATGGTATAGCAGATCAAGTTTGTTTTTAGCTCTTCTTTCTCTTACTAATGAATTTTCTTTACTTTATTCTATTCCACACCTCTATTCTGTAGCTGAGAAGATTTCATCTGTTAACCAATCACTGATAAATAGGTTTAGAACATAATATTAAGAAAAATATTATATAAGAATTTTCAATAAGGTATATTGCTATGATACAAATTATTTGTATTTTAAAAAATACAATAAGAACTATTTCCAATGACAAAACTCTAAAAGTTTCCTGCCATTCTGTTACTTAGCTGATATCTCTAAGGCATTACTTCAGTTGCTGTCTTCTAAAAATTCTGTACTCTAGGTTGTTTGAGATTGTACCCTTTCTTGGGTCTGCAATTACTTCTGTCATCCTTAAATTTAACCTCTCAATGGGACCTCATTCACTCACATGGCCTCATATGCTATTGAAATGCAAGTTTCTATTTCCAGTCTGAACTATTTTTCTGATTTCTATAACTGTATACACATCTTCATGTGGAAGTTCCACAGAAAATTCCCTAACTCAGGGAGAATATGACCACAAAAATGAGAAACCTAGAAGTCACCAAATGCTCCTTCCTTTCCTGGGCCCCTTACACTTTATGAATAACTAAGCTCTACTAATTCTATTTTCTCAATCCCATTTAATTTGCTTACCTCTGTATTCCAGTAATCTTGTTACTCATTGTTACATCTTCTGTTACTGCAACAGTGAGAAGAGCAAGTGTATTGGAAAGATGAAGCCAATTTTGGAGATGTTAAATTTACATACTAAAGGACCATATAAACTTGAAAAATGAGTGTGACTTGGTAGAAGAAAACGGAACTGAGCAGAAGATAGAAATTTACTCATGATCAACCAAAATTTTGAAAGCATGGGTGTAAATTTATCGGAGAAAAAAATTATGAAAGGGAATGAAAAGGACAATAAAGAAAGCTTGAAGAACAATATTTAAGGAGATGGAAGGAATATAGGAACCTAAGATGTAGGGAAAGAGTAGGAAAATAGAAAAATCATGACAGAGGCACCACTGATGCAAAAGATAAAAATTTCAAAGACAGTGTGGTCTGCATTGACAAATACTCCTACTGAGTAATATAAATACGGAAAAGAATCCACTGGCTATGTCAACTAGGATACTTGGGTTGTTATTATTTTCCTGTCTTGAAAACAGTGCTACAATTAACATGTTTATAGGTATGTCATTGCACAAATGCATGAGTGCATTTGAATATTTAATTTCTAGTGGAAATGCTGTTAGGGAAGACAGATTCAAACTCCTAATAGTTAAAAAACTGCCCTCCAAAAATAAGATTCTAATTTATATTCCCACTTCCAGTTTATGAGAATAGTGGTTGATGCATTATATAGCAAAGGCTAAGATTCTTCTGGAACTGACTATGAAAAGGAGTGGGTAAAGTAGCTGGCGGGATGATTCCAAGGTAGTAATTCATACAAATAGCATTAAGATTAATTAATACTCTGTGTTGAAAATACAGCCACATGAAGTCAGTACAATTTGGTAAAACATTATGATATCTTTAGGATTAGGAGTTGTTTAGGATAGCCTGAAGATTGTTCAGAGGAGGTAAGTAGACTTGTCACAAGAATAAAACCTGAAAGCCAAACCACAATTGGTTTCATATTTAAGGCACATTGTATTTGATAATTTTGAATCATTGACAAGGTGACTTTTTATACTAATAGCTACTAGACTATTAATAGTCTAGTAGCTATTCTAGACTATTAATAGTCTAGTAGCTATTAATATAAAGACTATTAATAGTACTGGACTGTACTTAACTAAACCTTTTGATGGTAAGGGAGACCACGAACAGATTGGCTTACTATAAGAGAGGCTGAATTTATGGTTCTTCACATAGTAAACAGTAGCAATATAGAGGAAACATTTATGGATTTATTTTATGTGTGCATTTTATACAAGCGATAAAGAAAAATGAAGATTGTGATATTACCCTTCTTTTCTTTTTTTATGTTTTCTTCCCTCTTTCCCTCCCTCCCTCCCTCCCTCCCTTCCTTCCTTTCTTCCTTCCTTCCTTTCCTCTTTTCTTTCTTTCCTCCCTCCCTTCTTTCCTCACTTTCTTCCTCCCTCCCTTCCTGCTTGCCTTTTTTCTTCCTTTCTTTTCTTTTTTCTTTCTCTCTTTTTTGGCCCACAGTCAACAGAATCATGGAGTGTTGGCTCATATGCTGTTGATTTGTAGATTTCGCTCTACTGAGGATCCTGAAACTGTAAATAAAATTGTTCAACGTGTCTTACATGAAAAGCTGCAAGGTGCTGCAGGACCTCCTAAAGTAGATCCTGCATCAGTTAAAATTAGAAGTAAGTTAATTAATCTTATTTATTTATTTTTCATAGAACAGTTTCAAGTTAGGTTTGATCTTGGCACTCATTAAAAATTTTATTTTTGCTGTCCTTTATTTCTGGGTTCTTGCCATCAACAGTATATTTCTTTGGAACTAAATTGGTCCTAATGAAGTATTTTAATTTCTAAAACTACCCTAAACTTAGGCCTCCCATGCAAGCTTTTTATTAACTCCTGAGCAGTTTTCTTCATATTAAACTTTGTACTTGGGCTATAGAATCCAATTATTAATGAAGAAAATGGCTTTGTATTTTCCTCTTCTTTTTTTTTGTTGCTTTCATTTTATGTTCTGAGTGTATGGTATATGGAAAGGTTCATGCCATTTACACATTTGTTTACAAATGTCATTAATATACCTTGCTATATTTTCTTCCCTTAAATTTTTCACCAGTGAAACATTTGTAATAAACTTATTTGGTATATTTACAACCATAAATGAAAAATTTAGGTAGTTTTTGTTGTTCTTGTTGTTATTGTTTGCAGGGCCACATAGGACAAAACAAGTGATGTTAGGTCCTCACAATTAGAAAATGAGAAATATGAGATCCTCAGTGGAAATTAAGTTCTGGCTAAGGGCTGGGTCATATGTTCTAGAACAGTGCAGGTCTATAGAAATAGTATGTGGGCACAAGTATAATGTTACATTTTCTAGAAGTTACATTAAAAATAAAAATAAACATGTAAAATTAATTTCAATAATTTGTATATTCAATCCAATATGTCCAAAGTATTATCATTTAAACAAATAGTCAATGTAGAAATTATTTATCAAATATTTTACATTTTTTGTAGTAAGACTCTAAAATATAGTGTAAATTTTATATTGATAGTACATTTCAGTTTAGACTAGCCACACTGCAAGAGCTCACTGCCACATGTGGCTAGAGGATACAGTAATGGATACGGCAGCACTGGAAACTAGAGAATAGGAACAAGTAGAGAGAAGGCATACAAAGTGCTAATACAAAAGCTGATACATCTAAGTAGTTGCCTAAAGTGGCCAACCAACCCACTTGCTTAGGAAGGAGGCTTCAGTAGTTCAGTCTTGCTTTGTCACCCAGGCTGGAGTGCAGTGGCACAATCTTGGCTATCACTGCAACCTCTACCTCCTGGGTTCAAACAATTCTCCTGCCTCAGCCTCTTGAGTAGATGGAACTACAGGCATGTGCCACCATGCCCAGTTAATTTTTGTATTTTAAGTAGAGACGGGATTTTATCCTATTGGTCAGGTTGGTCTTGAACTCCTGACCTTGTGATCCCCCTGCCTTGGTCTCCCAAAGTGCTGGGATCACAGGCCTGAGCCACCGCTCCTGGCCTCATGGTGTTTTCATTTGCTGATTATTGTCATTCTAAGGGAAAAAAATAAATTTGTAGATGACTGAGTTTACCTGTATCTCGCAGTGTCTATTTAAATGCATTATGAGTACATTTAACTGTATTTCAAATCATGGAAATTATGCAGCTATATTTCATAGCTTATACATACATGTTTTTCGTTTTTGTGAGATCAATGGAAATAGTGCAAAAGGCTCAGACCTCTTTTTATTTTCCTGGTTGACATGAGCAAATTCTACCAACACTCTCTACCTTCAGCTTATTGAGGTGTGAGGAAGGACTAGAAGGAAAAGGATATCTGGGTTTCCCTATCTTTCTCTTTCTATGCTATTATTTCCAGCAAAAGCTGTTGGCTAATACACAGAAGTAACAGAAACAAGAAAGGATATGACAGGATCTTTTGTGCACTTGTGTTTATTAGAATGCCATTGCCTTTTCTCTGGGTTCTAAGCAAGTTTTGGTTCAAACAGAAAACATGGTATCCAGGAGGTGTCAGTGCGCCTCTGCTTACTTAGTAGAAAGGATAGCACACTTACTTTGTACTTGTCTTGAGTCTTGCTGAACCCCTGTTCATTGTGGGTCCACTAGAATTCTAATTTCACAGGGAATTGTGAATGATGTATGCAAATGAGGTGGGAAGAAACCATGGACACACTTATTGTACACATCTTCTCTGCTCACCATCCTATAATTTACCATCCTATTAAACTTAATTTTCAAAACACAAGTTACAAGATAAAATCACTAAGAATGTTAAGTGAGCAACGGCAGAACATTGTACCAAGCACAAGGCCATTGTGAGTGTGTCACCCAGTGCAGATGTATAAGTCACTCATGAAGCCAACCTTGTCAGTAGCATCAACACACAAAGCTTGAAATTCTAGGAAGAGCTTGAGATAGAGAACAGGCTATTTGAAACAAGAGATCAGAGGTGGCCCTTTTAATATTAACCAATAATAAGTTGTAAATTCTTCCTTATTTTTGCCATTTTCCCACAAGTAGCCAGAATAAATGAAGTCAGAAAGAAGGCTTTCTAGAATATAGATTTCCACTTCATTCACACTATTAAATACTAAAGAAAAAAATTAACATTAATATTTTTGTTCTTAGAGTGTCCATCCTTCTACATACAGAGAATAGTTTTGGTCATTAGAACTCTGCTGAGTCAGGAAGTTTGCGTTTTAGAGTTTTATATACCTATTGGCTGGGTTAGTGTTTGCACAGGGTTTGAGAGTGACTAGTGAGAAGTCAACAGACTAAGGAGTCATTGGCTGGAGCTGAATGACAATTTGAGGGCAGACTGTCGTTCTGAAATCTTAGCAGAAAGAAGATTTGAAAAGGGTAATGCTGTTTTTAACTGTGAGTGAGTACAAATTTATGGAGCTGCTACTCAGGTAAATGGGACTATGCTTAGAAGCTTAATAATGTAATCTGAAATAATGGTTAATAAAAGTATGATTACATTTGGGGAATCAATACTATGGTTTAGAGTAGTATTTCCCATGGAGGGGCTGTGGACTACCTGCATCTTATTTACTGATATAAAATCTGTATTCTTGAGCTTCAACACAAAACTACTGAATTAGAGTTACTGGGAAGAGAAATAGGAGTTTACATTATAAATCCACTACCTATGTGACTCTTATCTCATTAAAGTTTAACACATCTTTCACGTGCTCTCCAACGTGATGATCATACTATGTCTACGACAAACTTACTGTGTTGCTTTCTTTATATTCTTTAGATACTGTTTTACAATAAAATCAAACAGTCTTTTAGTATTTGAAATACTTGGATGCATAGCGTGATTTTGGTGTGCTGATCCTATTCTCTTTACCATTTCTGTGTATTTCAGAAATCAACAAGACAGAAACAGACAGCTATCTGAACCATTGTAAGTTTAATATATTTTTCAAATGGCATTACATGAATGTAAAAAGTTAACACTATAGGTCATTTAAGTTTACTTTGTGTTGATTATAGGGACAGAACAGATGAACTTTGATGAATTTATGTACAGTTCATGGTGCCTTATCATACCTTGGAGACACACTTTATTAGAAAAGAATAGCAAAATTGAAATAACTTCCGAGTGGATGTATGAGAGGCTGTGGCAGATGTGTAGTGGAAGTGAGTTGTATAGCTGTTAAAGAAGAGGCACAAAATGTTTACTTATCTATATTCTGTTTGTAGATATCTACAAGTTAAAACAAATCTATATGTTGTGTTTTCCAGCTAGAGACAGAAACTTATTATCACTATATCCTAGATTAAATCTTGATGTTATTAATCCTATGTCATGGAAAGTGCAGAAAATTATGGGGTTGGGGTATATTTTAATAAAATTACTGAAGAAAATGGATCATATCGTCACCTATATTTTGAAAGTGCTGACTCCAAGCCTAGTACTTTCCTTCTCCTATAGTCGAGTACCGCACTGGGATCTACAGTATACATTCCATAGTTATGGGATTGTTGCACATTATATTTCTCTTAAAAAGTGGAAGAAAATGTGTTGCTTAGCAGCTCATATAGTTTTTTAATTTCTAAAATTAACTAAACACAAAACCAGAAGATAATTTTATTACATAAATGGCATATACTCTTGCCACCGATATTTACTGGGAACCTGCTATGTGCTAGCACTGTGCTAGGCAACAGAGATTCAAAATGGATAAGATATACTCTACCTAAAGCACCTCATACTCTAATGCGACTAGATGCATGAGACTAATTTGTGAACACATCATTCTTAAACAACAGTTCTTAACTAAGAGAAATATTGTTTGGCCAATCTATCATGCCCCACTGTGGCATTTTTTGTCATGAATATAGGGGGATTGCTACTGGCATCTACTATATGTAGGCCAAGATCTTATGGTGCACAGGACAGCCCCCTATGACAAAGAAGCAAATGGTTCAACATGTTGGTGGTGCCAAAGTTGAGGAACCCTGTCATAAACAATGTCGATATGTATATACACACACACACACACACACACACACACACACACACACACACACACAATGTGTTTGTTATTCACATAGACATGCACACAGAGTGTTTTTTTAAAAAAATCATTATTTTGGAAGCACCAAGGAAGTCATAACTAATCCAGATTGGAGACAGGAGAGTCAGAGAAAGCATCCTAGACGGGGTAACAACTGATATAAACTTTACAAAACGAATAGGAGTTACTGATACTATTGGAGCACAAAGTAAAAGAAATTTGGGACATAGCAACACAATTTGACGCTTAAAACAACCGCTAATTAATGCACCCACCAATGTACTCCCCACTATCCGCCCTCTTTCGCAGGCTGTGGAACACGAAGAAGTAAATATCCAGGTCAGAGTCTTAGAATCGTTGGTGGCACAGAAGTAGAAGAGGGTGAATGGCCCTGGCAAGCTAGCCTGCAGTGGGATGGGAGCCACCGCTGTGGAGCAACCTTAATTAATGCCACATGGCTTGTGAGTGCTGCTCACTGCTTTACAACGTAAGTCTTGAACCTTGAGAATCATTGGGAGTGAACAAAGTGCACTGGTTTTCGCAAGAAAATACCTCATCAATTTTGGGAGATACGAGTTTAGCAAAAATTAAAAATAATGTGTATATCACAAAAAGTGGAAAATTTGTAAACCTTAGTAAGAGGTTTTAAAGTCTGGAAATTGAAATGGAATCAAAATATATGTAAATAAATAATCTTTTGATAAATACACAATAGTTTCTCGAAGACAGCAAAAATTCTAAAGTCATTTTTGGACTTTGAATTTGATGTCATACAGAAGTGCTCTATCTCTCTGCTGAGTATCTGAATCAGAGATGGAATCTGGATAGGTTGTAGGTTTGACCCTAAGGGGGATATTTCACATGGTAAGGAAAAGAATTCAATATGAAGAATTAGAATTATGTAATGATGATATGAAGAATTTGGAAATAGCAAATTGTACAAATGAATAGATTGACTAATTATATTGCAAGAAATGGAGGACCCTTCAACCTATTGTCAAAATGTCCATAGTATATAAAATAGTAATACTTTATTAAATTATTGTGTGGCCTTTATGGCTTTCAGAGAAATGTGTATGTTTGTGGGTGGGGCACGAGGCACATAGAATATATTCATTTCTCTCATTATGTACAGGGTACTTTCCATAGATCCTTGGAGTCACTGATATCCAGAAATATCAAAAAGCCCTAGAATTTGGAATGAATGACTTGGTTATGGAGTGGCATTTATATTATAGGAAATGGTAGCTTTTTTCACCTGGTCAGACCCCTGAGCCTTACTCTCAAATTAGAAAGAGTTCTATACATAGAAACTGTAAAAAGAAAAAAAAATCTACACCTGTAGACTAAATTATTTAACATAAATTATTAGACTGGTAGCATTGGTAAAATAAATTTATTCTTCATTTTTTTTTTCTCCCCAGATATAAGGACCCTGCCCGATGGACTGCTTCCTTTGGAGTAACAATAAACCCTTCAAAAATAAAACGTGGTCTCCGCAGAATAATTGTCCATGAAAAATATAAACACTCAACACATGACTATGATATTTCACTTGCAGAGCTTTCTAGACCTGTTCCCTATACAAATGCAGTACATAGAGTTTGTCTCCCTGATGCATCGTATGAGTTTCAACCAGGTGATGCAGTGTTTGTGACAGGATTTGGAGCACTGCAAAATGATGGTGAGCATCTGAAGAGAAACTCAAGTCAAAGCTAAATTGATATTTTATGGCATTTAAAGAATGAAATGTCATTATGCCAAAATATGTTAGTTGTTTCGTCATATGACCTGGGCCAACTAAAAGTGAAGTAACTTGGAGACACACAAATTTCTTCCTGCCTAAGTTAATATCAAGTAATTTGCTACTGCTGCAGTCATAGTACTGCTAGGATGTCTAAAAATGCAAATGTGTCTCATAGCCATGAACTTTTCTTTGAAAATTGACCACTTTAGGGATTAGCAATAAAAAATATACCCAATTCTGAAGACTGGAGAATCATAAAGCCATCATTCTCCCCTACTGAAATTTCCTTCTAATCTTCAACAATGGAATGTACATTATTTAAATAACTTGTGGTCCTTTCCTAGGCAGTTAATGTTTTACTTAAAGTAGTTAGGAACAAATTATCTTCCCAAATATTACTGATCTAAAAATATGTATTCTAAGATTCTGTATTATCATTTTTTTTTTCTTTTCTCTTTTTCCTTTTTGAGACAGAGTCTTGCTGTTGTTGTCCAGGCTGGAGTGCAGTGGTGCAATCTCAGCCTAACTTTTCTATTTTTAGTAAAGACATGGTTTCACCATGTTGGCCAGGCTGATCTCAAACTCTTGACCTCAGGTGATCCACCACCTCAGCCTCCCAAAGTGCTGGGATTACAGGCATGAGTCACCATACCCAGCCTATATCACCATCTTATTCATAGATATGAACACTTGCTTCAGGTTTATAAGATATATGTATGTCTACAAATACAAAGACTTCTTTTTCTTTTAGGCATCAGTCAAAATCATCTTCGACAAGCACAGGTGACTATCATAGACACTGCAACTTGCAATGAACCTCAAGCTTACAATGGCGCCATAACTCCTAGAATGTTATGTGCTGGCTCCTTAAAAGGAAAAAGAGATGCATGCCAGGTAAAGGGTTTTGCCTATTAGTATGCTGTGTAATTTGTTGCTTACTTTTCTTAGAAATAATTATATATTTATAGGAAGTTGCAAAGATGGTACAGAGGAGTCACAGCCTCTCACCCCGTTTTCTCCAATGATTACATCTCACTTTAGTTCAATATAAGATCTGGGAAATTGACAGTGGTACAATGTATATGTCTAATTCTATGGCATTTTATCACATCTGTAGATTTTGTATAACCACCACTATAGTTAATATGGAGAACTATTCTACCACCACAAAGATCAAGAGTAACACTTTTTTCCCTCCTCCTACTATCCCTGACATCTGGCAATCACTAATTTATTCTCTGTCTCTATAAGATTGTAATTTTCAAAATGTTATGTAAATAGAACAACAGTAGCTTTTTAAACAGAAATTAATTTTGGGTAATCTATTGGTATTTTTGGCTTTTTTTTTGTAGAAAAATTTTAGTGATTCCTCTAAATCACGTAGATGTGTGTATAAATATATATTTATTTATATATCCATACATAACTTATCACTGTGTATGTGTATTGAAATTTTACTAGTTTTGGTGGGGTGTAGAATAGAAAACTCACTTCCCCTTAAATCCTTATACTCTTCCCTCTTTAATATTAAATATTAATAAATATAAACATTAAATATAATATAAATATTAAATATTTGCTTTATATTTTGAGAACCACAGACTACAACGTTTCGTTTCGACTGTCAAATGTAATTTAAAAAACATAAGAGGAAAAGGAAAGACTATTTGCCTGTAGATTTGTTGTTTACTCTTTCCTGATTCCTTTTTTAAAAGATGTCATTTATGTTTTAGGAATTTCCTTTAGCCACTCTTTTTGTATAGGTATGCTCGTGCAAAATTCTCTTAGATTTTCTTTGTATCCAAAAGTCTTTATTTCTTCTTCATAACTGAAGCATAATTTTACAGTTTGGCACTGACAGTTCTTTTCTTTCATCACTTAAATCATTTCCTCTGTGATTTCTGCAAGGAATTTGCTGCTGTTAGAATCATTTTGTTTTTCTCCAATAGATGAGGTGTCATTTCCCTCACGCTGTGTTCAAGATTTTTCTTTGTTTTTAGTTTTCAGAAGTTCGATTATGTGTGTTGGCTTGGATTTCTTTGGGTTCATCCTGTTTAAGTTTTGCTCAGTTTTTTGAATATGGAGTTTATATCCTTTGTCAAGTTTGAGAAATTTTCCATCGTTATTTCTTAAAACACATTTTCAGTCTCACCTTCTTTCTTCTTACCTTCTGGAACTCTAACCACAGCAATATTTATTTTGTATTATAGTTCCAGAGTTTCCTAAGCTCCTGTTCATTTTTTTCCCCACTCTATTTTCTCTCTGTTGTTCAGATTGGGTGATTTCTGTCAACTTTATCTTCAAGTTTAGTGATTCTTTTCTCTGTCTCCTTTATTCTTCTGTTAAGCCCATCTAGTGAGGTTTGAATTTTGCTTATCATATTTTTTAGTTCCAGGGTTTTTCTTTGATTCTTCTTTTTATATTTACGATTTCTTTTTTGACACTTTCTATTTATTTTCATTTGTTTTAAACATAGTGGTAATCAGTCGTTGAGATATATTTATGATTGCTTCTTTAAAATCTTTATCAAATAATTTCAACCTTTGTGTTATATCAGTGTTGGTATCTGTTGATTGCCTTTTCTCATTCAAGTTAAAACTTTTTCTGTTTCTTTGTATGATGAGTGATGTTCAAATATATCCTGGGCATCTGATTATTATTTTTTCTGTTTTTGTTATTGTTGTTATATCAGGCTTTGAAATTTATATTATTTAATTAATTACTTTTTTTTCTCCAACTTTTATTTTTGGCTCGGAGGTTACATCTGCACAAATGTTTCATGGATAAATTGTGTGTTGCTGGGGTTTGGTGTACAAATTATTTCATCATGCAAGTAGTAAGCATAGTAATCAATAAGTAGTTTTTGTCCTCACCCTCCCTCCTCCCATCATCAATCCTCAAGTAAGCCCCACTGTATATTATACCTCTCTTTGTGTCCATATGTACTCAATGTTTAGCTTCCACTTGTAAGTGAGAACATGAGGTATTTGGTTTTCTGTTCCTGAATTCATTTGCTTAGGGTAATGACCTGTGGCTGCACCCATATTACTGCAAAAAAAAAAAAAAAAAAAAAAAACAAAAACACATGGTTTCATTTTTATGGCTCCATAGTATTCCATGGTCTATATGTACTGTGTTTTCTATATCAACAGTGGACTCACTGTTGAAAGGCATCTAGGTTGATTCCAAGCCTATTGTGAAAATTGCTGCTATAAACATATGCATGCATGTGTCTTTATGGCAGAATGATTGGTATTCCTTTGGATATAATATACCCAGTAATGGGATTGCTGGGTCAAATGGTAGTTATGTTTTAAGTTCTTTGAGAAATCTCCAAACTGCTTTCCAAGTGACTGAACTAATTTACATTCCCACCAGCAGTGTATAAGCATTCCCTTTTCTCCACAATCTCAACAACATTAAAAAACATTATTAAAAAGCTTTTTGACTTTTAAATAATAGCTAGTCTGACTGGTTTGGGATGGTATATTATTATGGTTTTACTTTGCATTTCCCTAATGATTAGTGAAATTGAACATTTGTTGATATATTTGTTGGCTGCTTGTATGTCTTCTTTTGAGAAGTATCTGTTCTTGTCTGTATACTGCTATAAACAAAATACCTGGACTGGGCATGGTGGCTCATGCCTGTTATCTCAACACTTTGGGAGGCCAAGGTAGATGGATCACCAGAGCTCAGAAGTTTGAGACCAGCTTGGGCAACATGGTGACATCCTGCCTCTGCCAAAAATAAAAACATTATCCAATGTGGTCGTGTGCACCTGTAGTCTCAACTACTTGGAAGTTCTGAGGCAGGATGATTGCTTGAAGCCAGCAATTTGAGGCTGCAGTGAGCTATAATCACACCACTGCACTCCAGCCTGCATGATAGAGCAAGACCCTGTTTCAAAAACAAAACAACAACAACAACAAAAAACAAAAAAACAATATTAGGTAATTAATAAAGCAAAAAAGTGGTTTATTTGGCTCTTGATTCTGCAGTCTTTATGGGCAGCTTGATGCTGGCATCTACTCAGTTTCTAGGGAGGAAACGTACAATCATATCAGAAGGTGAAGTGTGAAATGGGAGGGAGCAGATACATCACATAGCGAAAGCAGGAACAAAAAGGATAGGATGGTGGGGGAGGTGCCACATACCTTTAAACAACCAGATCTTACAAAAGCTCCCTCACTATTGCAAAGACAGCTTCAAGCCATGAGGGATCTGCTCCCATGACCCAAACACCTCCCACCAGGTCCTACCATCAACATTGTGGATGACAATGCCACATGAGATTTGGGTGAGGACAAAGAACCAAATTTTATCATTCTGCTCTTGGCCTCTCCCAAATCTCAGGTCTTCTCACATTGCAAAATACAATTATGCCTTCTAACAGTCCCCAAAAGTGTTAACTCATTCCAGCTTTAACTCAAAAGTTCAAAGTTGGCCAGATGCAGTGGCTCACCCCTATAATCCTAGCATTTTGGAAGGTCGAGGTGGGTGGATTTCTTGAGTCCAGGAGTTTGAGACCAGCCTGGGCAATGTGGCAAAACTGCATCTCTACAAAAAATAAAATTAGCTGGACTTTGTTTTGTATGCCTATAGTTCCAACTATTTGGGAGGCTGAGGTAGAAGGATTGACTAAGCTTGAAAGGTTGAGGCTGTGGTGAGCCATGATTGCACCACTGCACTCCGGCCTGGGTGACAGAGAGAGACTTCATCTTGGAAAAAAATGAAAAAATAGCCCAAAGTCCAGAGTCTCATCTGAGACAAGGCAATTCCCTTCTACCTCATCAATCTGAATTTCACTGTCCATATAACTATCAGCATTTTGGTCACAACCATTTAACCAGTCTCTAAGAAATTTCAAACTTTATCTTTCTGTCTTCCTCTGAACCTTCCATATTCTTCAATTTTTTTGCCTCTTATCCAGTTGCCAAGTCACTTTCTCTTTTTCAGATATCTTTAAAACAATGTCTGACTCATGGGTACCAATTTTCTGTGTTAGGCTGTTCTTGCATTGTTATTAAGGACTATCTGAGGCTGGATAATTTATAAGAAAAGAGGCTTAATTGACTCATGGCTTTCAGACTTTATAGTAAGCATGATACCAGCATTAACTTGGCTCCTAAGGAGGCATCAGGAAGCTTATAATCATGGTGGGAGGTGAAAGGGGATCAGGGATATCACATGGTGAAAGCAGGAGCAAGAGAGAGAGACTGTGGCAAGGTGCCACACACTCTTAATCAACCAGATACTGTGAGAGCTCAGTTGCTACTGCAAAGACAGCACTATGCCATCAGCAATATGTTACCCGAACCACTCCCACCAGGCCTCACCTCTAGCAAGGGAGATTAAACTTCAACATGAGCTTTGGGAGGGGACAAATACTCTAACTATATTTTTTTCTCATGTTTTAATGGAGTTATTTTTTGTTTGTTTGTTGATTTAAGATTCCTTATAGATTCTTGACATTAGACCTTTGACAGGTGCATAGTTTGCAAATATTTTCTCCTATTCTGTATGTTGTCTGTTTACTCTGTTAATAGTTTCTTTTGCTGTGCAGAAACTCTTTAGTTTAATTAGGCCCAAGTTGTTAATTTTTGTTACAGTTGCAATTGCTTTTAGGGTCTTTGTCATAAAATCTTTGTTAAGACTGATGCCCAGAATGGTAGTTCTTAGATTTTCTTCTAGAGTTTTAATAGTTTTAGTTTTTACAGTTAAGTATTTCATCCATTTCAAGTTGATTTTTGTATATGGTGAAAGCAAACGGTTCAGTTTTAATCTTTTGCATATGGCTAGCCAGTTATCCCAACAACATTTATTGAGTAGGGAGTCCTTTCCTCATTTTTTGTTATTGTCAGCTTTGTTAAAGATGACATTGTTGCAGATGT